AATCTAGACCGATACAATGTATCTTCAAAACGCAAGCGAACATAACAACTCTTCCCTTTGTACAAATAAGTGCGTGATTTCTAATACATTTGGATACATAGATAATTGTTCGTCGTAATTTCAATTTATCTAACATAAACCAAGCGAGAAGGCGGTTTCCGAATGCGCGTAGATCTCCGCAAAGTACAAGTTCCAGCTGGGTCAGCCGGCCCTCCATCCGATTTATCAGAGGTGCTTTTAGGATCAGCAGATTCGGAAACAGTTTCGTCTCCAATTGGGTGTTTTTGTTTATCTACTGATGACCCATATGTCTCTGGGGGCGTAGTAGGTGTGAAGTTAATCTTTAGCGGTGTATCATTACCGATCGACCTAATTTGATCAACGTGACGTTTCCAAACTCGTAAATCGTCTAACTGCACTAAGTATATTAAATTACCTAGTTTTCTTTGTACTCTACCATACTGCCATTTATTCGTATTTAGGTAGTCTCTTACAGCAACTTTTTCCCCTTCTTTAAATGTTCTGTATTTAGAACTCTCGAAGTTTTTATTTTCTGACTTTTCCGTGGGAAAAATTAAGTCCAGTCTCGTACGTAAGTCTCTACCGAACATAAGAAAAGAAGGAGTGTTCCCCGTAGTAGTATGTGGGGTTCTCCTGTAGTTTATTAAGAATTTGCATAAATTTATTTCGATATCTTTTCCATTACCGCTTAATGTTTTGAGTGTATTCTTGAACGATTGTACGCAACGCTCTGCTAAACCGTTAGTTGCTGGATGGTATGGGGGAGATAATTTGTGGATAATTCCATTTGCTTTTAAGAAATTTTTAAATTCAAAAGCTACAAACGTAGGTGCATTGTCGCTGACTAAAACAGCGGGTAAATCAAAAGTACTGAATATTTTTCGTAGCAATTGCACCGTCGTATGTACTGTCATGTTTTTCACTATGTGGATCTCTGGCCAGCGTGTGTATGCATCAACCAATATAAAAAAATAATGGTTTATAAACGGTCCCGCAAAATCAATATGCACTCTTTCAAAAGGGTTTGGTGGCTTTGTCCCACGGATGAAATGAGAATTTCGGAGGATTGTTTCTAAATTTTCTACATTGTAAGCAGTTTTTAACTTCATTTTCAATGTCCTGCGAAATTCCGGGCCACCAGCAGTAACTTCTTGCTAATTGTTTAGTTTTAACAATACCCGCATGAGTAGAGTGTAATTCGTTTAAAATCCCCTTTCGTAATGTTTGCGGTATCACAACCGTTTGTCCACGAAATAGACAGTCTTGTTGTAAGGAAAATTCCGTTTGACTTATATTGAATCGGTCTTCCTTCCTCACGTATTTCCCCGCGTGTAATGCCTCGACTAATTTCGAAAAACTTTTGTCCCGTAATGTCTCCCTCTTTAATTCATTGGAATTTATTGGTATATTCTCTAGTTGATGTATTTCGAATGCATCGGATTCATCATGGGCATCAAGATGTTCTGAATTTGTAGGTAGTCTAGACNTTGTTAGTTGTCTGTCGACCATTCAAATTACGAGCGTATATTATAGAGGCGCTAGTGTATTTTAACGGATGATCAACCCATCTGAACGATCGTTACACTCTCTCAAAAATGGATCTCGAGATGATACGCAATTCTGTACACGTGGAAGTATTCAACATATATGTATCACTATAATTAAGTAATAAATATATTATATATAGTTATTAGCAAATACTCTGCAACATTTCCTCTACCAGATTCGCGCTTTGAGAATTTTTGCTCTTCAAGCAAATCTTCGCTAAATAACCCTTAACCTTACATTTTGTGCACGTGCTTGAAATATGTTTGCATTTGTTCGCTAAATGTGAAGGGGATCCGCACCTGTAACAAAACCTTTTACTTGTATTCGTAGAATTGTCTGTCGCACTAGGCTTTTGGAACGTCTTCTTTTTGTGTACTGCGCCAAAGGTGTTTGGTTTAGCCTCCTTGACACTGTTCACTCCAGCAGGGGCCACGTTGTTCCGATGTAGTTGAGCTGCATCCTTTGCAGAAGTTTCCATGCTGACAGCTACCTCCAGTGCCCTTTCGA